AAGCCCAAGATGACCAAGAGCTAAAAATCACTTTTTGGTCCAGGATCGTTATGTTTTTGAATTATAATACCTTTTTGTTGTGATAAATATTTTACCAATTTGATTTCTTCCTATTAATACAATATTTTATAACACAGCCCTAACTGTGATTTTTAAACTATCATCTTTATATTAAGTGTGACCGTTTCAGTGGTAGCAGAGTTACTAACCATATTTAGTGGAGTTAGCCTCCACATCAGCGTTGTCATTGTAAATATCGATTGTATTTTTGTTTTTTGACAGATCTACTTGCCACAGCCACACTAATTTCCCCTTCTTTTCTTTTCGCCCGTTTCCGGTGAGTGGTGTGCTTCGCGTATAATTTTAGTTAAATTTTAACAAATATATCTTTTTCTGCTTACCGGCAGACCTGTGAGTGGTGTTCCTTGTGGATTTAAAACCTTTCTAAACGGAGTTGTGGTTTGCAACACTGTAAAAAAAAGACGTTTGACTCCACAAAGTCCCTACCGTCCGTCTGTTTCTGAGAATGTCAAAAAACTGTATGAATGTAACACTCCGCATGGTCTTCTAGCTTATGGAGCACTTCCCTGAACCTCTTTAGATATCCTCATTGTTTCTACAGATAATAAAATGCAAGATTGGACATCGCGGTTAAAATCCGCATTAAAAAGCCAATTTAAAGAAAAACGTGTCAGTTTGGAATTAAGTTTGTTGTTATCCGTGATGTTTCAGAAGTTTCTACCAATCAATAAGATCTTACATTTCTATGGAAATTATTTATGCCGTTCCTAAATGGCGCCAAAAATCATTAAGAAAATTTTACGTTATGATGAATTTACTAACTTAACTTATTTTTCTTTCCATTTTCATGTACCCAACAAACAATAACAATGGATTTGCAGAGCAAACCGCCAAGATGAGGAAAATCATGAAGCAGGGCAAGATCGTAATCGTCCTTAGCGGACGTTACGCCGGTCGCAAGGCCATCATCGTCAAGACCTCCGACGATGGTACTCCGGAGAAGCCCTTCGGTCACGCCCTCGTTGCCGGCATCGATCGCTATCCGCGCAAGGTGACCAAGAAGATGGGCAAGAACAAGCTGAAGAAGAAGTCCAAGGTCAAGCCCTTCCTGAAGAGCCTGAACTACAACCACCTGATGCCCACCCGCTACACGGCGCACGACATCAGCTTCGAGAAGCTGTCGCCCAAGGACCTGAAGGATCCCGTCAAGCGCAAGACGCACCGCTTCCAGACCCGCGTCAAGTTCGAGTCCGTCTACAAGGAGGGCAAGAACAAGTGGTTCTTCCAGAAGCTGCGTTTCTAAGCTGCCCATTTGCTACTTGTGGTTACACTGGATTGTCGCTCTTTTTAAGGTTTAATAAACAAAGAAGTAATTCTGATAAAACTGACCGAAGTGGAAACTACTGTGCCTTCTTTCTGAGTGTTCAAGTGGGGCGTATGCCCATGGAATTATGTGAGCAATGCGGAAAGGACTCGTATTTCCAAAAGGATATTGATACTTACAAGACCGTTATATTCATCCCATTTTATTATCACAGGCAGCATTGTCCGAATAATATATATATATATATATTTATTTTCGAATATCATTAGGTTTGAATGCTTACAATGGCTTGCTTAGAATCAATTTTTATTTTAAATTTATATTTTAATAAGTGGTATTCAAATAATTCATTTAGATAGCCCAACCGCCACGATAGAAAAAACAACATAGTTAAATTGTCTTTTACTTTTTTCTTTACTAATAAATATTCGAACAGAATAATACATTTTGTCTGAATTAACTTTTCTTTGTTACAATTTGTTTGGAAAATTTTAAATTACAATTTAATATCGCTCCGTTTGACTATTTTTGGAAACTATTTACTTGGCTTTTTAAGAGCGCACAGTGTGTTATTCTTGTTGTACATGATCTGTGTTTGCCTTAGGATATGAAAGTTAAATAATAGAAAAGAATATGGCTCTCAGTAGGGGATTTAAAAAGAGTAAGAGTGCAGAAACATTGGATAGGGCCGGCAAGCAAATCTGTGAAATATAAGATAAAAATATATTAATATCCATACGAATGGTTTAAGGAATCTGGAGCTGAAAAGTACTTGGAGTTTGCGTTACCTGATTATCACACTTGGACATCGAATGAACACACACATGGACATTTAGCCGGGGTAACATATTTTGTTTGGGTTAAGCAGCGGAATAGTTCGACCTCGATTTAATTATACCGATTTTTATTCTGGGCATCACATTAACTCTGAATGCATTGGCTTTTGGGGTACAAGATGTCTCATATTGGCTTAGTTATGGGTTAATAAAATTTTGATTGGTTTGGTATTAGACTTGGTTCAATTTGGTTTGTCTTGCTGAGTTTGTTAGCAGTTGGTTGAGTTTCGGTAGTGCGATAGTGCCTATTGGCTAAAATAGTTTCCATGGGGCCTGCGGAGCGGTTAAGCGTTTTGGAATTTGGGGAAAGGAGAAAAAACAGAATAATTTTGTTGATTAGAGCTGCACAAGGACAATATTGGGTTATACTTTCAAAACGAAAACTACATACTTGTGTACTGAATGTGTGTGTGGTTGTGTGTTCTACGGGAGCACTACTTAGACAAATAAACAACAGAAAAGTTCAACAAAGCAATTGCTAAATAGTGGGGTGGGTCAAGTATACAATACACAATTTTAAGTAACTTTTGAGCAAACATACAAGTACCATGTAAAAGCGATTTTTAGGATTCCATTACATGACACTACTCTATTTACTCTAAATAATATTACTTAAAATTGTTCGCATTTAGTTCTCCAATAAAAATTTTTTTAAAGAAACTGAGGAGTTAGTTGTTAGGTGTAGTCTGTGGGTGTGCTGGTTGGTTAGAACACAGTTAGGACATTTCGACAATAACACTTACAGTTCTGCTGAAGTAATCAGTAAGTAAGTAAAATAATACAATAACAGAGCATGAAGTTATGATACAAAAAGATCTGCAAAGCAGAACCAATCGCAACAGTGAAGTAAGAGGGGAACAAGCGATAGATGTTTCGTTGTTTAAAAACTAAATAGAAAATACAGCACTTTGTCGTGACAGCGCGATAAAAGAACATGTAAACTACTATAGATGCAGACGATTATTTTACCAATTCACGCGCTTAGCACTCAAGATCTTGAGTATGTTTTCAACGACATCGGTGCTGGAGTGGTTGCCTCCAATATCTGTAAGAAACAGTGGATATTAATAGTTTTGATGGGTGAAAAGCTTTACTAATCGGATTGACCTGGCGTGCGAATGGCATCGTTGACAATGGTCTGGTAGACTGCCTCCTGGATGACATTGGCATGCTCCTTGTGGCCCAGATGGTTCAGCATGTCGATACTGGCACTGATCATGGCCACCGGGTTGGCGATGTTCTTGCCGGCAATGGCGGTTCCTGTGTTGCGGGTGCCCGGCTCAAAGACGGCGTACTGAAAACAGGATAAAAACCACGTCAAGGAGAACACGGAGTTTAAAAACTGTCAGTTAAACTCACATGATCGCCGTAGTTCCGGCCAGAAATGAGTCCAGCTCCTCCCATTAGGCCGCAGAGGACGTTGGACACAATGGTGCCGTACAGATTGGTCATGTTCATGACATCGAACTGATGCGGATTGGACACGGACTGCATGCAGGTGTTGTCGATGATCATGTTGTTGTGCTCCAGCTCGGGATAATCCTTGTGCACGCGGTTGGCCACCTCCAGGAAGAGACCGTCGGACAACTTCATGATGTTGGCCTTGTGGATGGTGGTCACCTTCTTGCGGTTGTTCTGACGGGCAAACTCGAAGGCATAGCGCGCCACACGCTCCGCATTGTCCACGGTCACCACCTTCATGCTCTCCACAATTCCGGGCACGGATTCGTGCTCCAACATGGCGTACTCGCCATCGGTGTTCTGGCGGATGAGCACCACGTCGATGTCGTGATGGCGGGCAGGGATGCCCGGATAGGACTTGCAGTGCACCACATTGACGTACAGATCCAGCTCATTGCGGATAGCCACATTTCGCGAGACCTCAGACAGGGTTTGCGACTTGGTCTCGATGTTGCCCTTGAGCGCCACTCCATTTCGCTTGATCGAGGTGATGGCATAGTCCAGATCATCGTTGCCCTCGGTGGAGGGGTCGATGTCGATCACCTCAAAATCGATGGGGGCACCGCAGTAGCGGAAAATCTCCCGCACATAGCCCATCAGTTCCGGGCCAATGCCGCCACCGGGCAGCATGGTGACAGCATGACGACCACCATACTGCGCCGAGGGAATATCGGTGCCCTGTTCACGAAGATATATACGAATGCTATAACCTCAATTGGGGAGTGAGTTCCAGCGGTGGTGGACTCACCGTGACTTTCTTCTGCAGCGCCGATTTGGTATGGGCTACATCCTCGGTCTTCTCCTTGGTCACAAGCAGAGGATATCCCTGCAATTTGAATAAATAAAGTCAATCAAGAGGATCTGCCAGCCGTCCATTATGTAATTTCCATTTGTTGGCCAATTTTCCGGCCGAGAAAACGTACTCGGGTAAGGAACGGCGTCTGCGTCTGCAGCAATCTCTGGGACAAGCGAAGGGCCATGATTTTGTTCTTAACTTATTGTTATTCACGCGGCTGCAGGCGAGTTCTTATTATCGGTTAAATCTCGGCCAATTGCGCTTTATTCCACTTGGCCAAATCGGTGCTGCTGTGCTTCTTCTTTCCACCCAAGAACGACTGCGATCTAGGATTGTCAAGTACAAATTACAAGTACTCAAATATTCATATTTAAGACAAATAAACTATATACTTATATGGAACTCTTAATTTCTTACATATTCATATTTAAGTGAATAAAACTACATATTTATATGAAATTATATAAATAATTATATATAATTAAAAAAAATTGGTATAATTTTGACCACCTTGACAGCCCTACAGTGAACAGCTGTTATGCATAGCGTTGCCGGATAACAAAAAATCAGCTGATTGTTACGTTAACAACCAATTCGCATGTTTTTGTTTATTTAATCAATTTATGCAAAATATCCTGGTATAATGACATAAAGTGGAAGTGCAAACACAATTTCTAGGACATGGCAGCTGAATTAGGTCTGGACTCGCCCGCAGGGTCAATGGATATCGGCATGCAAGAGCCTGTAAACAAATTAAAATTTTTACATGCACTTGTTGTGAGTACCAAAAATAATTTAAGTGAGAATATACATACAAAAATTACAAATTAATATTACAGGCTGGTGGCGTGGCTGGTATGGTGGTGGACATAGCACTCTTTCCCATTGACACCGTGAAGACCCGTCTGCAAAGCGAGCTGGGCTTTTGGCGGGCTGGAGGCTTCAGAGGTATCTACAAAGGATTGGCTCCCGCGGCCGCAGGAAGTGCTCCCACGGCGGCTCTTTTTTTCTGCACTTACGAATGCGGAAAACAGTTCTTCAGCTCCATAACCCATACCAAAGATTCGCCCTACGTGCACATGGCAGCAGCCTCGGCAGCTGAAGTGGTGGGAATTCCTTAGAATCTCACTATGTAACTTATAGATCTAACATTTTTACCCGCTTGCAGTTGGCTTGTTTAATCCGTGTTCCTGTGGAGATTGCCAAGCAGCGCTCCCAAACGTTACTGGGCAACAAACTATCCGGCCTGCAAATCCTACTGAGGGCCTATCGCACTGAGGGATTGCAACGTGGTCTTTATCGGGGATTCGGTTCCACCATCATGCGGGAAATTCCCTTCAGTCTGATCCAGTTCCCACTGTGGGAGTATTTTAAGCTTCAATGGACGCCCTTAACCGGCTACGAATCGACCCCCATTTCGGTGGCTCTCTGTGGAGCCATCGCTGGAGGAATTTCGGCGGGGCTAACCACTCCACTGGATGTGGTGAAGACGCGAATTATGCTGGCCGAAAGGGAGAGTCTCAATCGACGACGCAGTGCCCGGAGCATTTTGCATGGCATTTATCTGGAGCGAGGCTTTGGCGGGTAAATATTCAGTATTAAGGTTTGATTTAGGTTGAACTTGACCAAAATAAGTGAGCAATTTGCAACTTAAATAATATTATTTACAACATTTCGCTTAAAAAGAAAATACAATTTTTCATTTCGATTAATTTGGAGTGTAAAAAATGGTATTCGAAGACGAATACCTATATAAATGATAGGAAGGCGTATATTAACTTTTAGGCTTGATTTAGCTTGAACTTTATCAAAAGAACTGAAATAATTGGCATCTTAAAAAAATAATATATTTAATTTAAATTAAAAAGAAATATTTGATATCAGAATTAGGATTCCTTATAACTTATAACTAAAAGATTATTTTGCATTTAATAGCTTTCCAGATATGATACGTTAGGAAGAATATGTGAAAGTCATTTGGATTTACGATAATGTTTACATTTATTAATGTATAATGTTTATATTTCAGTCTGTTTGCTGGTTTTGTGCCGCGGGTGCTGTGGATCACACTGGGCGGTGCCTTCTTCTTTGGCTTCTACGACCTGACGACGCGAATTCTGGGCGCCGCCAAAACGGATCAGTAAAATAGGTTTATTTTCGTTGTATTTGTAGTAGGAGGCACGTAGTTTGCAGTAGTAACTTAACCGATGACAACCACCGTTGGAGACAAATGTGGACAATAAAGTGTATGGAAGCCTTTTGAGATTATCTAGGCGTTAAAGGCGTTATCTGGTCTCTAAGCATACAGATGGAATAGAGTACGAATTAGAAATTGTACAACCAAACTCACATCCTGAATGTGCAGTCGCCCGCTGAGGAGGCTAGCTTCAATCCGGTGATCACCCAGTTCATCGCCACAGGCCATGGGTACATCGGAATCCTCCTCGTCCACGTTGATGTACCCACCCCGTGGGGCTTTCCTTCGGTTCAGACATTCCCAGGAAAACCGGCAGCGACTACGTGACATGGCGTACACCTGTAGACACCCAGATGCATAAATTAAACAAATGTAAATGCACTTGAACAAATATCCAGAGATAAGGAATGTAACGCCGCACCAAAGCTGCTAGAACAAGTATGCCAACGAGCACCGAAATGGGCAGCCAAATGTACTGGGCATCATCCGGATGAAGAATGTCCTTGTCAGGACTTATTGTGGTACTCTCAGGCTCCAGATACTTTTCCATTTTGAGGGGTTTTTAAGGAGAAACCAAGAGCGACTGCTTAAGAAAAAGTTCTTAAAAATTTAAGCGCTTCTCAGCGTTGCCAGTTGTTTAACTTTGAAAATGTGGCAACTCTACATTTAGCTATGTTTAGTTTTTCTTTGATTTTAGTGTTTTGAGCGGGGATTTTCAATTGTTAACAAGTAAATATTAGTTAGTTTAAGCTACACTTTAATTTTAATTATACAATTCATCTCACAGATGAATCGACCCAAGCCAGAAGAATGCAAAACGCAAACTTACACAGTCACGAAGCGTATTTCACAAGTTGTGTCCCAAGAAGTCTCATGTACAGGAGCTCCATATTTTCCGGGCTTAAGCAACTGCTGCCGTTTGTGTTTGGAGGAGCCGCATCCCAACCAAATGCTGGACATGACCGGCATCTATGACCAGCAGGCTAAGCTGAGCTACTACGACTGCTATGAGATCTGCACCAAGCAGGACCTGCGCCAAAGTCCCAGCAACGAGCCCAGAACCTTGTGCAAGCGATGTGTGGTGGAGCTGCAATGGGCCTACGATTTCCACAAGAAAGTAGCTCTAGCTGACCAGCAGTTGAGGGAGATCTTTGAGATCACAGACACTAGTGAAGAGCCCGAGGAGGAGGAGCAGAAAGAGGAGGATGACTTCATCATAGAGGATATTGAGGACAAGGAGGAGGCCCAGGGTGATCTGAACACTCCAATGGACTCGATTACCATGGACGACATTGTGCCCCGTCAACGCCACACGGGCAAGTTCAACTGCCAATTCTGCAACAAGGTGTTCAAGAACCATTCCCGTATGGCCAAGCACCGCTTGATTCACCAGGACAATCGCCCCCACTTTCAGTGCAGCCAATGCGACAGGATCTATCTCACAAAACAGGCCCTTAAAGTGCATGTGGACTCGAAGCACAGGCAATCCGGAATGTCTTGCGATACCTGCGGCAAGGTATTTGGCATTGCCAAAGCCCTGGAGATCCATAAACGATTCCACACAAGGGATTTTCCCTATGCCTGTGATCTCTGCGAACGGCGTTTTGCACAGCGATCGCATTTGACGGTCCACCAGCAGGTTAAGCACACTGGATCCCGATTTATTTGCGAGTTTCCCGACTGCCAGAAGTCCTTTACCTCGTCTTCATCCTTGAGGAATCATGAGTGCACCCACACGGCCATGCCATTTGAGTGTGCCCACTGCCAGCAGAGTTTTCCAGCTCGTAACAAGTTTGTTTCCCCTCTTTTAATCATATAAAATAAGATTTAAATAATGTGTAATCCTGTTTTAGACTGCGAGTGCACCTTGAACGCAAGCACAACAAGCGAGTTGAGATGGAGGAGCTGGAAGAGATGCGCAAGTTTCACATTGTACGCTCCAAGTTGGTCATGGCAAAGGTTTATAAAAAGCAGGATCAAATAGACAACAGCCGCCAAAAGGGAGCTGCTAATTAATACCTAGATTGTTAAGAAAGAAGTTTAATAAACCCTAAAAATCATAGTTAAATGCTAGTGCACTAACAAAAGTCAACAAAAAATATGAGTACATAGAAAAAACTGAAAGAATCACTTATATTAATTTTTCTTAATATGTATTGCTGCGGAACTTTTGCCTTGATACTGAGATAAAGCTTTAAAAAAGTACTTTTTTTTTTTTTTAAATTATAAAGTAAATTGAAATTAACCTTAATGTGAACATTCCCCTAAACTGTTACAACATCTTTGAAATTGCCTTACAAATATCACATTCAATTTATTTCACACTTTCGTTTGGTTAACTTACACAGGTTAGATATTCACACACAAATATATAAATATTTGATATCATAGACAAAATAAATGCTGCTAAATCTGATGGTATACAAGTTCGATGACCGCCACAGGAATGTGTTAGTTTGACAAAGTAAGGGCCAGTGGCATGGCTCTGGCCAGTGTCGTAGAGTCGTCCGGATGCTGTGACGATCCGGTGGCCGTGCCCGTCGTGGTGGTCGCCACATTACCATTGCCCGCCTCTGCTCGCTTTCTGGAGGTTATCTTCTTCCAGCCGCGCAAGAAGATCTGATTGCGATACTTGGGCGTGGTGAAAGTGTACAAAAGCGGATTCACCGCCGAGTTAAGGGGCAGCACAAAGACCACCAGCCAGGCGTATATGTCATCGGAGATATTGTAGTTGAAGAACACCCAGATCTTCATAACTATAATGGGCACCCAGCACAGGAAATCGGTCAGTACAATGAAAAAGAATCTCACCGCGAACTCGCAATCCAAGAGAGTCAGCGGAGTGGCACTTCGCGTCCGCCATATCGAGATGAGGAGTGCCGTGTAGAGCATGGCGATCATCACCAGTAGCAGCAAATTGACTCCCAGGAACACAAAGGCCGAGTAAAGCCAGCCCATGGGAAAGGCTTCGTGGATGTGCAGAGGAAAACAGGTGCCCGAATAGGATCCATAGTAGGGCAGAGTGCTGGTCCGCCAGAGAAGCACTGGAACCACCGCCAGTCCCACACCCGTAATCCAGATGCAGATCAGAGCCAGCCACATCACCCGACTTCCGATGCTGCGGTGGCCACGGAAGGGATCCGCGATAAGCAGGAAGCGTTCCAGCGACATGAAGGCCAGAATTAACATCGACACCTCGGAGGAGCTCACGGCCAGGGTTCCAATCAGCGTGCACTGCCACGAGCTGATCCAGTCCAGCACAACCCTTGAAAATGACAAGGTGAATACAGGAACAATTATTTATTCTATATGATTATTTATTTAAGGCTTGTTAAACCATGGGAGAGGGTACAATTACTTCAGTCATAAGTTTGTAACGACATTTCTGACCCTATAAAGTTTAAACACATATTCTTGATCACTAGCAGAGTCCGTCTGTCCGTTTCTACGCCAACTAGTCTCTCAATTTCTAAACTATCTAGATGAAACTTTCCCAAAAGTCTTATTTTTACGGCAGGTAAAACTCACTTGTAGTACTCGTTCCGGTAGCGATAGTCCTGCACTCCAATGGTGACCAGATAGAAGCCCATCAACATGTCGGCCAGGGCCAGATTCCGGATGACCATCGTCACAGCCACGTTCTCGTCCCGGTAAATAAAGCGTCCCCAAAGAACCAGGACATTGCCAGCTATTGTCAGAGTGGCCATAACCCAGGCGGAGTATCGGAGCACGGGTTTGCTCAAGAGGTCCTGAAAGGAACTGATCCCATCGGTGGAGGGCTTGCACATCCTCACCTGCGGCGTCATCGAGCAGTAAAAGAATCTATCGTAGATTATATAGGTGAGGTTGCGCATCGAATTAATGGCCGCGAAGTCGATGTGATCGTAACGAATGCCCGAAAGATTCAGGAACGAGATGTTCAGCGGCTCCACTAGGCTGCCGGTGATGTGAATGGGCATGTGGGCCAGAGAACTGGTGAGCATATCAAATAATTATATGATATACATTTTTAATTTAAATAAATATATAGTTTATTTTAATTGATTCGATTTTTAAAGATTACAATTTACCACAAACTAGCTGTTTTAATTATAGTTTGTCCCTTTTCAAATGAAAAATGGAAATGGATATAGATTTCTTTTAAATTTACCACAGGTTTATACCAAGTTTAAGAACATTTTTAAAATAAAATTATAGTTTGTACTTTATTTTAATGAAAATATTGATAAAGTTTTATTCATAATTATTAAACAAGGCTTTTTTGCTTTTTTGAGTACTCGGAAGTTGCAGATATCAAAATACGACAGGCTAGGTATTTTGATCTTTAAAAATAGTTGGTCAGTACTCAACATAAATTTAGGCAAATTGATTTTTAAAAAGCATTTTGCCATTATTTTCCCATTTAACTCTTTGTATTTTTAAAGCCGTTTTACTATTTGATTCTTAAGTATACTCACAGTGCCTCCAGTCGAGTGTTGTGCAGAAATGTTTCGCCAGATAACTCCTTAATGGGATTACCGACAAGGCGGCTGTAAAAAGAAATGTATGTCTAAGAATTAATCGTAGATACAATATAAGGTTACGCATACGCCGCGTGAGCCGCGCATAATGGCCACGCGTTTGCTTCTTGCTGATAAAGCCGACACACGTTGTCGCCTTTAAAAGTTATCAAACAATTTTCTCCTTTTTTGGTCGCTACTTTAAGACAAAGTTACAACAAGTTGACTAAAACCTTTGAAAGTCACATAATAAAGTCCTGCTGAGCAACATATTAACAAAAATTCTTATTTAATAGCTGGCTGAGTATAAATCAGTGCACAAACATTGTCTATCAATGTATGGGATAGATGCAACTGGCCGGGGCTAAATGTGTTGGCAGGAAAGGGCGCATCATTCATGGCAGACAGGATGTGGCACAGTGGCTTAAAAACCACTTCAAAAGGTCATTTAAATGTATTTTAAAATAAAAAAATATTATTTTAAAAAATCTTTAAATTTTTTAACAGCAATTATTGATTAAAATTTAGCATTGTTTTATATAAATACTAATTCTAGTTGTATTGTAGTTATATTAAAATATTCAGAGCCTTGAAATACTTTTGCCAGCAGATTAAATACAATTATTATAATCGAGTGTAAATGAAATCACCTTAAATAATTTGAAAAATAACTTTACATTTAAAAACGCATATAATAATTCAAGTTGTACCTTATCTTCAATGAATAAATGAATAGATAAAGCGAAAATCCTTAAAGTCAATTTGCCAGCCGTTTTAAATGCAATTGTTATACTGAATTTACTGTGAAGATGTTTTATCCCGAGAATTCTGAATATGACAAACAACCAAATTTAAGATTTATTTTGTCGACACTGTTCCTCCGTGTGGAGTGAATTTCTTCTGCTTTATTAGTATGTTTATAGCGTTGGGGGATAATAACTTCCATATTTCTACTGGGTCGTGAATTGGAGTGCTGGTGCTTCGGTTCCACCGTGTCACGTCCATGGGAATGCAGCAGCTGATGTGAGATCCAGGGAACTGAATCTGATGGAGATGGTGTTGTGAAAGCTGACGTTGAGCTCTTGGTAGTGGGAACTCCATTGCTTGCACTTGTCTGGTCAATCAATGCCCGAACGCCAACTGTTAACAGTTTGTTTTTATGGATTGTCGCCCAAAGACAATGGCCACGCCCCCCGCCCCCTGCAAGCGAGGAGCAACCACAGATTGCTGGTAATTGCTCGCTGGCTATAAAGCTGCAGCGCCATTTTGCGTTGCCTGGTAAAAGCTTAAACTAAATATTTAACTCGGCCACAAATTGAGCCCTCAAAAAATGGGCCCCAACAATTTTGATTATGTAAATTTCTAATTAATTATTGAGGGCCAGGCCTCTCAGATCGGCTGGCATCATGATTTTGGCAAAGAGGCCCCAAAAGTCCGCACTCAATAACTTCATAAATATCCGGCCAAACCAGACGCCACACGAGCACAATTAACATATTTCTCTTGAAGGGCAACAAGTTGCTGCTGTCCCCCATTTATGGGCATCCAAATAAGCCTCGAGTAATGCCCATTGTTCATGGGCGAGCACATCCTCCTGTCCACATACACGTGTACCATTCCGAGGGGACACAAATGCGTCAGAATCAAAAGGACGGAGTAAACGATGAAGGGCTGGCTGTCGCTCGATGCGCATTTAAGAAAATGGTAAATAAATGCCGCTAGTTGTGTTTGTGTGCTACGTGCAAGAAGCGAAAAATCATGGAAGTATTATCACAAATTATGAGAGGGTCAGACAGTTTGCCTAATGCTCTATAATATCCTGGGTTAGGATAGCAAATCCTCGAGTATTGGGATGCGCTACAGAAATCATTAAGTATTGGAATAACACATAATAATTCATAGTGCAAAAAAGTATGCGACAAAAATTAAAAAAGTCGCCTTGCCTAAATCTACCGATATTGTCTATTAAAAAAAATATATTGCATACAAATTAAGTGATTGCAGTGATTTAAAAAGATTTTTAATCATAGTGACTATATAAAGTAAAGCATAAATTTGTAATTCTGACTGCCAAAAAATTACTGTATCAGTAAATTTCTGAAATAAAAATTTATGTTACATCTCAAAGACGTTAAACACTAAGATTATTCTCTTTAAGAATATACTGCTACCGTAAGGCATAAAAAGAAGTTTTGTTAATTTTAATTCTCCTTTCGAGCTAAATTTTCTCTCAAATAACTCAATATACCCGATTGCGAATGTGAGGGCATATTAACCAAATTAAGCCATTTACGCTTCCCTTGCAAATGACACGTTTCAGTTGTGGATTCTTTTGGGGCAATGTGCTTTGCGGAGGCACTGCGGCATTTGTTGCACTGTCCATTTGTAAAATTATATTGGCCATAATTAACGTCACGACCATGTCGAGCGGACAATGCTGGACTTGAAGGTCTTTAAAGCCGTATACATATACGGTCGAAAAATCTGTGTAATGACCTGTCAGTGGCTCAGTAGCTCGGCAGCAGGAATCAAATTAGTGCAGCGATTTCTCAAATATTTTCGTTTTCGTTTGTTTTATGGCCACGTCTCCACCCTTGACCCCTAGGGGATACCAAAGACAAAACAAATCAGCAGAAATTGCTGGAGGAAGACAGGATACATGAGCAGCATTTAGATGCGTATCTGATAGATACAAATACACGGACGCAGATACACGCTCGCCAAAGGAATTTTTGTACACTTTCTTTACTGGGTGCAGGAAAGAAAGAATTCTACTATTTTACATATAATAAGAAATGCAATCTGAGAACTAACTTTAATCCATACAAATTCACATACATTGGTAGTTGATAAAGCCGTGTAGAATTTTAAGTTTCCTACCTCCAAATGTAAATTAATTTCAGCAAAAACTCAACTAGTAAGTGAAGTGCCATATTAATATAACAATAGTTTTTACAATTGCCTTGAATTTAAACGAATAATAAATGCCTTAATTTAATTCTGTTCAATATTAATTGCAAACAATCAAGAATTGAATTTGCGTTGAGAAGCAAAACTACCATGTTAATTAAAACATTTTTTAAGTGCATTGAAATCAAAAAAATTATATGTATTTTAAAATTATATATTATAAATATTTATTTATATTTATTTATTGTTTTTAAGCACTTTAATTTGCTATCGTTGGGCTTTTGATAATTTCTATTGAAACATAGATCATGTTTTCTTTCTGTGTGTCTATAAAAGTCTTACACTTGGCATACAAGCTGCCCGGAATGCTGAGAAATTCCTCGCACGCCAACAAAGGGCAAATTATTTGCATAGAAGGGCGGGAGTGATAAGATGGGTGGTTAGTGATAAGATGGTAAGAGGTGTCATCAACAGGCGTAAAGGATTCACAGCTCGAAAAAGGGGGAGTGGCACAGCATCTAATGAAGCAATGACGATTGGGGAATACCGCCCCGAGTCGATTTCAATAAACTCCTTCATTATTGGCCCACAACGTGGCCCCGGAGTTGGTTACTCAGTTACTTTTGGCCAAGGCTTTGGCGAAATTGTTTTCACATAAAATACAAATTTATTTGCATTTTTATTTGGCCATAATAATGTTTGTTTATTTGTTGCTCCGGCTGCGTTGGCCAGAAGTCAAAGTCCCGAAAGATACAAAATGTATAAGAACCAATCTGGTCAAAAACAGTGTGGTGGTGTGTCCATGTTACATCCTTGATATGCTGATGTATGTGTATTTAGTACATATATGCTGGATGGGTTTGGTAAATTTATTAAGGCCACAGCTTGATGCTAGACGATGGATGCAGAGTTGGCGGAGACATTTATTGAATATGCCATTGATATATGGTTATGAAAGCCAGAAAGCAACATACAATTCTTATTTCAACTCTTGTGTGGATTTTATTTACAAGATATGCTTTAAGCTCTCTGTGGTTTTCAATATTAAATATTGAGCATACGCCATGTTGTCTGAGGCTCATCAAATTCCTTCCTCAAAGCGTTAAACAATTTGTTTTCCTTCTTTACGACTGCCGTTTATAGATTGGCCCACATGCTTTAGAGTTGGCCATAACTTGCATTATAATAAACTATGACTATAAAGGTTAGATTAGTTGGCCCAAGGGGGTAAACTTTTTTATAGCGAGGGCTTGGTCAAAATCATAAAAATATTTATATCGTTTCAAATGAAGCGAATTTTTTCTTAGTCTTTAGAAGTATGTATTCTGGTTAAACTTTCTTTCCCTTGTTATTATTTATCTGTCTGTGGGTGCAAAAGTTTCCAACTTTAATTTTTCATGAACAGAGGGCCACATTTCGTATACGTAATTGCGCATTAATGAACTAAAATTAATATCATTGAATATGATTTTGAGTCACAAAGCAAGTGTGCAGCTGAGGGGTGGAGATTTTGGGTTTCGGCTGTTTGAATTGCTTTGCCAAATTACGATTAACTTTGGGGACATTCCTACTGCTTTGTGTCCTGCGGTGATTCTTTGACCAGAGCTCGAGTTCATTTACTTGTGTCCCAACATTATTCGTATTATTATGCTAATTAGCTTTGTGTCGCCATAATTCATGCTTAGTGTCGGTGTTAAACATTCAGAAATACAGAATGAAATCCAAACCCCTTTCCCCTTTGGTATACTCACATATCTCGCATATTGGTGAGATTCGCAAAGGCTTGTCCATGGATGTGAGTGATGAGGTTATGCTGAAGATCTCTGTGAGAAGTAAACAAGATTTAAAATGTTAGTTTATACATTTACTAAGTAGGATTGTACATTTTTGTCATTGTAATATCTTAAATCAATCTAAACTTATTGTTGTTAAGCAACTCTACTTTCTCGCTCTCCCTTAACTACCCATATGCTTCAAATTACCAGATAAATTCCCAACACATAAGATGAGCACGAAAATTGCGACACAATTTATCCCATCCAAATCTCATCGCTCCCATTCGTTTCCAATGTCTGTAAAGGTTAACACATTTATTTACGTTGGGCAATTTGGGTAACTGATTTATTTTCAGTTAGCAGCCAGGCGTCGGGCACCCAGACGACCCATTGACTTATATTGTCAGCTATTGATGCATAAATTAATGATTATGTATACTCCGCCAGTAGGGTGATTTTGAAAGGAAAGGGGGGCCTCTGATAAATGCTTTCAAATTGTTTTAGGTGTATGCAGTACAAAGTTTTGATGTTATCCTGTTTTGTTTGTTTCTATACGCTTTCATAAAAAAAAACATAAAAACATTTGTGTTCATAGAAGTGGTAAATATTTTAAGAAAAGCTTTTAAATTGCCTTTTTAAATTTTAAAGTTTTGAAAACATTTGCCAAGGGTACTTGCAACTTCGACTCTTAGATTCAAGTTTTCCTTTCTGTTTTTCCCTGCCACTCATCTTTTAAATATTTGTTTAGCATATGTTATTTGCGTAAACAATAAACGTGCCAATTTATGGTTATTGGTGCATAAATTCCATTATTTTTGGATTGCCCGTAAAAAGGTGTCGAAGTATCGCATATCCACCTCAGTGTCATGTCAACAGTGCGTATACGCAATGCTCCATTTATCTTTTTTCACTGTCTCAGCAACAAAGTAACCCACATAAATCTCTCAAAGTAAACAAGTAAAAAAAAAGACAGCGAAAACGAAAGCAAAATGCAACGAAGAGTAAAAATTACGCATACGCCCCATAAAATCTAAGTACAACATATTTCAATAGACTTTTCGACACTTGCTGGCTTCTTCTTCTTCTACTTCTCTTGATTTTTATTTTTTTTTTGGGGTAAAAGTTGATTGTTTTACTTACAGCAAATGTAAATTATCCAATTGGGAAAAAGTTTCCTTGCCAATGTATTCGATTCGATTGAAATCCAAATAACTGTAAAAGTAAAGAGATATTTATGCAGGCATCTGGCTAACAACAATCTGGCTAAGCTGTGGGCCTAGTTTTGTTTATATGTACATTTTTGGGCTACTGTTCTAAGTCAGCCCTAAGCTTTTCGTGTGTGCTTGTGTGAACAAGTGAGGAATGTTTCTTTAACCAATCTAAGATAATCAAAGTTGATGCAGTGCCACTAAAAATGGCTATAAGTTTGAACTAAAATCTTAAAGGTTCAAACCATTAAAACGTAAGATATAAGGTTAATGGCTTCGGAAATCTAGAAAATCTATTTGTATGTTCATTAGGCAAATATATCATGGAGCTTATTAATGGCATACATTTTTTAATCATTAAAAACGATTTTTAAGAGTCAAAATTTTAGGACAAAGTTTAAATTTATTCAGCATAATATGTTTATTTAGCTCATATAAAAAAAATTAATGACATTTATATTTTTAAACTTTAAACCATTAAAAAAATTGTATAGTCCTCATTATTATAGGAATGAAATCGGTAGTTGTTCTGAGAAAACTTTCTCTTGTACATATGTGAAAAGAGCATTTTTAATATGTCAAGCTATAAACTTTAAGATTGTAGCTTACGACTTTAAGGCGTAAACTTCAAAACTTGAGTAAACACCACTAAAGGACATCAAACGGATACTTTTGAGAACTAAGTGAGTGCAACCACGTTGACAACATTGTGCCAGTCCTTAGCGGAATCACCCAATGGGCTGCCAACGGAAAGGACGGGCAATCCAGCAGGACACCCAATATCCGAGTAACCCAATGAGCTGGTGCACCGCCCGCTTTTAACAGCATTTTACGCTTGAATACATTTGGCGGAGCTGGGTGTCCAGAGACACAGAGCCCCGATTTCTTTTTAGTTTTTAATCTAGCAAATAGAAGAGCAGCTGCCAACCTAGAGCCAACCCAATTCGATTTACTCACACTTCGTAGAGCGACGGGATTTTCGGCATCTGCACATTCCGCAGGGTGAGGCGATTCCTACTCAGGACTAACCACTCCAGCCGGCGGTTAAGTCGCAACTGCTCCATGGGCAGGTGGTGCAGGTGGTTGTTCACCAGGAACAACCACTGCAGGCTCTGCAATCCGATGAAAATTCCATGGGGCAGGTGGCTGATGTTGTTGTGGCTCAATTCAAGGCGCTCCAGGTGAACCAGGCCAGTGAAGCTGCCCAGCGGGGCACGTGATATGTTGTTGTACTTAAGTGTCCTGCGGTAGGAGGGGAAATTCTAATGATTTTCAACCATACTTATACATTGCCTTGATGCATTTATTTTAATAAAAAGGAGGACAAAATATTGTAGACAATTCTCTTAAATGCAATTAAATATATATTTGGTTTAAATGTAAAATTTGAAATATTTAATTAAAGAGAACCGAAAGAGACATTTTCAAAACACAGACATCACAAAATTTGTATGCTAAAGGTATGATTGTTACCACATTTTTACCTCGTTAAGATGTTTTTGTTTGATATTTATTTATTTAATTTCTTTTGTTATTAGTCCAATGTTTAATCAGTTTACGTCACCAATTTTGATATCAAAAGTTTTCATGTTGAAAGTAGAATAATTACGATATTTTTACCTCGTTAAAACGTTTAAAAGGGCTTTAATTTCTTTAGATATTCATAAATATGAATATATGAATGTGAATATTATGTTACTCACAGCTTTTGGAGATGCGTCAAATTTGCAAAGATATTGTCCCTCAAGGTCAGATTGTTGCGGATGATGATCAGATTGGTGACCTCCGAACTTGTCCGGGGAAATCGACGCAACTTTGCATAGCGACCGCAGAATAAAATAGTTTTCTGGCCACACTGACAGGTTTTCGGATATGTGACGATATCTAAGAAATTCAAAAAAGGTTTCTCTCTTAAAAATGCTGGTATTAAACAAATAAATTTGATGACAAGAAACAAGTTTAAAATGATTTAATTTAATCATATATATTTATCGACATGCTTAGTCCTCCATTTTTTCACTTAAATTTTAAGTTTAAGAAATTAATCAAGTGTAATTGATTCATCCACTTACCACAAGTCATGTTTAAAGTTAGGCTCTGATTCCGTGGCACCGCCGGCGGTGATAAATCCACGCCGCTTGCATTCGAGACGGCGGAGATTAGGCGCTGTTGCTTCTTTTCAATGGCACTGCGCACAATCTTGTCGGCAATCTCCTTGCTGCCGTAGAGGAGTCCGCATTCCACGGGATGCTCGTCGCTGCTGTCGGCGCAATCGGGCCGACTGTCGCAGATTTGGCGCCTCGGAACGCACAGCGTGCCGTTGTCGCAGGCGAAACTGCCCGTGGGGCAGGGTCCTGCGAAAAGGACAGTACGGCACAACAAACAGATCCCAAATTAATTATCATCCAAGGACAGCGGTCAATATTGCACTAGCTAGGGTCTTAGTTCAACTATTTACCACCCCCAATTTTCTATAAAATTATGATTAATGTTTAAGGGCAACTGCTTCAAAAGAATAATTAAGAACTCAAAAAAGAAATGAGTCGAATTTTTAGTAGATATTTTATTTTTACAGATTTATTTGGCAGACATATTTAAGTTCAATTTTATAGGTGTACCTTTTGTATTTTCCTGTTTTCCTTATCACTCAAATAAAATGAAAATTCGCATGGGCAACGCTACGTATGAGTAATTATTCTAATCGCTTGCAGACAAACTTTAAACTCACGATGACAACTTAATTTGTGGGTTGTTATTCTCATCGCCTCTGCTCATTCAGTTTATTGTTTGCCCTTTTGTCAAGACATGGCAATTAAACTTAATGTGCAAAAAAGTTTTGGCCTGACTTTTCATTCACTTTTGAGGGGTTAACTTTTGCTTTTGCTTTGTTAACAATATGTTTTCTCAAGCATTGAAATCAAGTACATGAAATGATGGCTTGAAATTTATTAATATGCCATTGAAGCTAATTTAGTTTCAAAACTTTGAAGACTGAGTCCTAACAATCGATGTCCGGAATAACTTATTCCTAGACTTAATTTATCCTGAGACTTTTTCTGCCTGAATGCCTACATCTTTTTGGGTAATTGTCGTAAAACGAAATGACATTTTTGTTTTGCATTTTATCATTTTTATGATTTGTTTGGGTGCCACAACTGGAGACTCCCTCCAAAAGCTGAGCAATTCAAATTACGAGATTATGGAACATAGTTCATTAGACAAATGAACAGATAAAAGCGAAAGTGGAGCACCTTGAAGAGCTTTTAATCCAATTGAAGGGATTGCGTCAGAAACAAATTTGGTTTTTCCAGGTTGTTTTCTAATTTATTTCATAACAGGTTTCAGTAAATGCCAAATAAATTAAATATCAGCATGAAGGAAAAGATACTCTTTAAAATCATATAAATGGGCATCAAAACGGTTGAAATGCTTAAACTGCATACATATATTGCCCTGCTTTTTTTCTTAAATAATAAATATCTAAATTTATTGAGAAGGATTTGTACAAAGACTAAGGCATTGTGTATTAGACGAAACTTTCAATTTGATTGTGTCCATGAATAGGACACATGCTTACACATTTCTTTTCTATTTTCTATCCTCCTTTAATCTCCTTTTCTACGGCTAATTTAATCCTTAGCCGGACAAGCGCTCTCTGTCAGATGAATTATTTCTCGTGATGCATGTACTTGGATTCGGAGGCGACAAAATGGCATAAATCAAACATGTTTTGCCTATATCTGCTCGTATGGCAAATCAATACGCAAATTGGCATAAAAAATATATAATATTGAGGCAGCAAAAAGCGGCGCAAATTTCTCGATATTGATACTCGTAAAACAAGATAAAAGCTTTGAACGAGGAACCAAAAGCAGCCAGGACCAGAGCCTTCTATATATTTATACGTATACTTTGCCATGGATGTGCGAAAATTGTTTTGTGCTCAAGACAAAGTTTGCGCCGTACTCGTATTTATTTTTTTTATGGTCAGGCATTTGTTGTTTTTCCGCCCCCGTTTTTTGTTGCCTTATTTTTATCGTATTATACAACAAATTACTTTCAAATACTTTTGATTATAAAATTTATGGCCATTTTGCAGTTTGGAATTTGATTTTGGTTTGTGTTTGGTCTGATGGAACCCCATTTGCCAGGAATAGTCTTTAAATACACTTTAAATAAACTAAATATTTAAAATCTTATTGGTTCAAAGAGGTATGTATATTACATTGAAACAAGAAAATGTAAGTAGATCAAGCAATTTTTAGACGTCTAAACTAATTTATAGGAATCAATAAATTTTCTTTTAACTACTAAAAGGTTAAAACCCAATCATAACATTATAATATTTTAATTATTCAGGCAAACACGGTTTTAAATTAAATACAATTCTCAGATATTAAAATCAATTCGGAAAATCGTTAAATGTTATATATTAAAAAAGTAACTAAAAACCTCAAGTACTATAAATCAGAGCAAAAAATATTTAAATTAAAGTACTTGAATTTATTATTGAATATATATTATTAGATATATTTTTTTCACCAGGCTGTTTGAATTATAATTGCATACCAAATTGATTAAGAGGTGTGCAAGTTATAGAAATTATACTGCGGATGTCTCACCCAGACTTAAGTAGAATATCCCGGCGGCCAGCAGCAGGACGACGGTCATCAGGACGACGCCCACGGCGATGCTCCTACCGTAGACCATTGCGATTTATCGGTTCGGTCCTGTTTGTGTTTCCCAATCCCAAGCTCGCTTATCTAATTACTTGGCCAGCGTGGCTGCACTGGCTCCTTGACCGAGTTCATCATTAGGAGCACTCAATTCCCACTCCGGTCACGCCCCCATAACACCACTGCGGTGCTGACTCATTGAGTTTTTGTATTATTATTTCTTATATCGTTCTACTCTTTTTTGTTTTTTTGTCGTTTTTCGTTAATTTCTTGTCACTTCATTTGGCTAATGTTCGCAGCTCGTCGAGAAGAGTTTTAAGTGCCAGGATTACACAGCAGATGGAGCGGAAGGAGAGGAGTTTAAAATTAATATTTTGAATGGCAAGTACTTTCCACTTGGTGGGGTTTCGATTTCAGCGTTGGATAAAATTGATTTGATGTCCATAAAAAATATGCATAAAGTGCTATTTTGACAGACGACTGGCTTAAGTTTCACAGACAGATTAAAGTTACTGACAGATTTTTGGTAGCTTTTTATTTGTTGTTAAACATGTTGATTTAATAAAATCAAACAATAAATTTCCTTCATTCCCATCACAGTTTTTAAGAACACTAAAAAATAAATATTATTTTTAATCTTGTAGTATACAATCAATTTTAATTGATTAAATAAACTATATATTATGTGAAGCATTTATAATAACCAATGTTCTGACTTTAGTGAACACAGCTTGGAACTTAATTTTAAAACATTTCAATTTATTTTATTTTATTTTTTTTTATTTAAGCAATTTAAATACCAAATATTCTGACTTTATCCAACACAGCTTTGGCCAAAATTGTAAACCATTTTGATTTATTTTTAAATGTTGCAATTTAAATATATTTATACATTTTATTAACCGAGTTTAAGCTCCCAGCTTAAAATAAAAACTACACTTTAAGCTATTTTGTTCGCTTTAGTACCGAAAACTTAATGGTGAGAAAGACATAAACTAAATTTATTTCCCCCATTGAGAAATGCCAATCAAAATACAAAAATTTCACCAAAAATCATTGGGCTCCAGTCATATAATGCCTATATTTTTAAGTAGCCACTTTTATTTCCTAATTTATGCAAGGCATTAGGACAAACTCAAGGTTATAAAGTTGCCCAATGTAGTTCGAAATGGAAGTGCAATATGTGACCGGCATTAGTGGGCCCCTTTTCTGCGACATTTCTTCTCTGGCTGATTAAATTCCACTTAATTGGGCGTGGGCGGTGGGAGGCGCACCCGGGAGGGCTCAAGGTCAGCCGGAGACAAATCATAATTTCCGCAAAAGGTCACATTGTTTCTGCGATGCATGATCCCTAAACTGAAACAGGGACTCTCATTATCGCAATCATCGCAATTGAACAGCATTTGGTGTGGAAAACAGCCATAAAAGCGGAGCGGCTTGGGTTCCTTTTCTCTTTTTTATTTTTTTGCTGCCGGGCCACTTAATGCTCCCTCGACCACTTTGTAGATTGTGTCAATGCGATAGGACAGTAGAGGATGCCCCCGAAAACAGACCATTCAAATGTGTGTTCCGACGCCTCTTTATTTCTTTGCTGCCACTTTCACTGCCCCCCTAAGTGGGCAACACTTTTTTTTCCTGTTTTGAAAAACGAAAGTCGCGCGCGCTTCTCAAGAGGAAGTGTTTTACTTTGGGATGGACAAAAACCGGAAAGGATACAGGATACAAGGACCAAACGCGTCCACGCACGGCGGCCAACTGAAGCTGGTGACGGCGTGTGTGGCTGATTTTGTTTTCCTCCGCAGAAGAAAAGCGGCCGAGGAAAAGCGGCAGCGCAGTAGCAGAGCAGCTTCGGGTTTCTACAGGACTTCGGCTGACCATTGAGTTGAGCTGCTGCGGTTTTCTTTACTTTCCACTGCTCTCAATAGTCGCGGGCTTACATCTTAAAACAAAATAAAGGTTAATTGTTTAAATTCTTAACCACTGATTTCTGAAAATCGAAATTAATGCTTTCAAGAGATGACTGAATTCATGTGCTCATATATCAGTATTATGAATTTTAAAATTTCCAACTATTTTTTAATATTTATACTTATTAGGCTGTATTTCCAATACCCCAACAGTAAGTACGAAACATCTTTTTCGAGTTTTAAAGAAAGAATCATAAAAATGTGTTTATTAGCTAATTAGATATAATGAAATTAGAATTTGTTCTAAAACCTTTTTAGTTTAAAGTTAATAGTACTGTATATTATTTAATAAATTGCATTTCGGTTGGTGTTTTTGTTGTTTAACTATCAGTTTGTGTAAATATTAAATAATGCTAATTAAAAACATAATACACAGAAACGACTTAAGAGTTGTCTTTTAGTTGTTTGCCTTAAATCCTACAAAGTAAGCATCAAATTCTAATGTGCGACACTTTTGCAATTATTAATGCTTCGGTCTTGTGTTTCGATATCCGGTGGCTAAGGCTAAGCACTTTAGAAGTGAAACTTTTCAACAAAGCATTGCTAATTTGTAATTTTTTGTTAAAGCTGCGCTAATTGCTAAGTACAATAAGTTTTGTGTAATTCGAACTGTGAATTCTATATAGAATCATTCTGTGGGAGACAAATCACTAAGTGCACTACTTAAATGGTAAAAAGGCGTTTCAAGTGTCATTACATTCGAATTATTGCAACAATTAAGGTTCATTGTTAAATTAACAACTAATGGCGAATTGTAGAGATTGGAATAGGTTTTTGTTAACACGTAGACTAGCAACAAAAGTTAAACAGAAGTATAGCACACAAAATTAAAATTAGGGACATGGACTCCGTTTGTACATTAAAATACGGAGTACAGTGCAGAATGTTGAGACATATGCAAGTGGGCTGTGATTACCAATTTGTAACATTTATCATTGCGTTGAGAGATCCATAAAGTGTGTGTGCGGAATGCAGGCATACTTAAACAGTAATCAAGCACGTTGATCATTGTAAATTTGTGTAGAACATTGTGTAAAATTGTGATATTCATATTGGAATCCGTTGTGTGTCAACTCCATTATGCATTCAAGATATGTTCTTCAATTTTGTTCCCAAAAACATCATTTTTGTTGGAGGAGGAGGAATATGTTTAGAAAAATAGCTTCGATGCCTGTGTGTCTTAAACCCAGACGCCGTGAGGATTTTTACTGGTCGGGACAGCAGTTTCCAGTTGCCTGGGTGACCCGATAATCCGACGACTGCTGCCCTGCTTGTTGGGTCCCTCCAGCAAATGCTTGATCTCCTCCGTGGTGGTCACTGTCAGACTTTGCAAGTTCACCTCCTTCATCTCGTTGACCAACTGCTCCACCTGACGCTTCTTATCGGCAATGGCGTGCTCAATCATCAGCAACTCCTTCTTTAAAGTATCTGCTGTCTTGTTCGAAGTGTCAGTATTGTGCAAAGCCTGATCAATTTCGCTCTGTATCCGTTCCATTTCCATTAAGAAGTCACGTTCCATGGTTTGCCTAAGCATTAAAGCATTAAATAAACTATGTAAAATAAAGATATGCATATGTTGACCCACCTATTGGTCTGCTGCTGCTGCTGTTGCTCCAGCTCAATATCGTCCATCAGCAGACGCATTTTGTTCTTGCACTGCAGCAGCTCAGTCTCGCAATTGGCCAACTTGGAGCGGAGCAGAGCAATCTCCGACTTGAGGGTTTTCTCCTGTTGCTTGACCAGTTCGTTCTCCTCCTCCACATACTGCAGAGTCTGCAGTTGCTCGCTGCCTTGCCGAAAGATTTGATCTGCTTTGGAGATCTCACGCGAAATTGCCTCCAGTTCGTGGGCGTGATCGCGTTCCTTACTTTCTAAATATACTATTTCCGTGTCGAACTATAGAATATACGAAGTGTTTAAATCATAATATGGATTGGTAAATATTCTCATACCTTTTGCAATTCCATTTGCTGGGCTGTGATCTTCTCCCGCTGAAACTTGATGAGCTGCAGCAGATCGTTGTATTGCGTGGCCTGGAACATGGTCTCGCCCTCCTCCATGGCCTGGCTATTATTATTAATGCTATTGTTATTATGGTTGCTGTGCTGATCGTAGTCACTGAGGAATGGATTCGTCGAGGAGGAGGCATTGGACATGGTGTCAGCATTGCTGCTGGCCAAACGTTGACCCTGGCACATGGGACTGTTCCTTGGTGGCGGAGGATCGCGATATGGTGGCGGCACTAAGGCCCCATTTGCGGAAATCGTCGGTGTTTGCTTATACAGCTCCGGTGAGTTATTGTTGTTATTGATATTATTATTATTGTTATTGTAGTAAATCTCGTTGGGGCTAGAGCGTCGCAGTTCATTGCTGGATTTGCTCAGCTGGCTGTAGATATGCTGATTACTGCTGCTGTTATTGTTGTAAAAGTCGTTGTAGCCATTTGCTGTGGTCGGTGGAGTGCCTGTGCCCGTGCTGCTCATGTCTAAAGGATTCGACAGAGATTTCTCATGTTTTGGCACCAGCGGTGCCACCACATTGTTGTTGTCCTGCGGTGGCAGCTGCTCCTGTGGAACCATTGGTGGTAGCACCATAGCCCCTGAAATCGGAGATTGCGACTGCAACTGTTGCTGTTGTTGCTGCTGCTGAGGAATCCCTTTTACAATCCCAATGTTATCAAACTGCTTGGCATCGTAGCCCCTGAAAATATTTTAAAATAATTTTTAAGTTAGCTAAACAAACACAATACAGATTATGGTTCATATAGCTTAATCTATATCAATTATGGACCAATTAACTAAAAAAAAAGTGAAAAGAAACTATACAGGATTAAAGATTAGAGTTAACTTACATAAACAAAGGTTTGAAAAGAAACTACACAAGATTACAAAATTGTGGTAAAAAAAAAAAAAAGATCTAGGACTTTTAGTCTTAAGCTTACTAATATAAAAGATTTGAATGTTATCAATTAAAGTTAGTTATGTGAGTTAGTAGAACAGCACACACCCAAAACTCTTTTTTAATTCCTTAGTGCGGTAGCTGAGTTCGACGTTCGATTTTTGCTTCAGCAATGTGGGCGCTGGCTTGTTGCTATTATTATTATTATTGTTTGGGCCCAGCGGCTTTTTCGTTGTCATCACAGCATAGTTATTGTGGTTGTTATTGTTGGCTTGTTGTTGCTGCTGCTGCTGCTGTTGTTGTTGCTGTTGTTGCTGGTGCGTTTTGTTCTCGGATCGTTGTAATATAAACTGCACATCATTTGCATACTCGCCCCATTTTAATAGCAGCTTCATGGGATTCTCATTGGGGGCCAAATGGCGTTCATTATTACGCCACCTTTCGATCAAAGTGAATCTTCCCACTTTTCCGGTGGCATGGGCCAATGCGAAGACCACATCCTGCGTTGTTCAAAAAAGGATAATTAGAGGAAAAATCAATAATATATAGGGCATGGCAAAAAAAATACCTGACATGTGGTGTTCACTGTAACGCCGCAAACAATTCGCTGAATGCCCTCGACCCAAACTTTCAGCTCCATTCCGGCTAATTATCTTTGGTCTTTCTAAAAAATCGACCAATTATTTCCGTTTCTTGGTGTTTTTTCTGCTACCAGAAAATTACTTTCTTGTGCCGCTCCAGCTGGAAATGGAAATGGGGCTCTACGCTAATGGTTTTTGGCGCTTGACTGGCGTTCTGCTGTCGCGCAGCCAGCGAAGCGTGTTAGCTGCACTCTCTGCTAGATTTTACTTAATTTTCCGATCGCTGCTTCTGCTTCTTCTTCACTTGCACTTATTTACAACAACAATAACTCCGAATTGTGTTTGTGTGTATGCTGGGCGTGCGTCTGTGTGTGTGTGCTGGAAAAATTCTGATTCACTTTTTGATTTCAGATTTTTTTGTTTCTATGCTTCCGACGCTGGAACTTCGTTGTAATTCACTTCACTAAACTCATGTAAATATATATCTTATCTTGTTAAAAAACACAATATTTTATCGTTTTTACGGAATTTCCAACGAATAAAAGCAAAAAATAAACATTGTTGTTGGCATGCACTTGTACTCGATGCCAAAATCGATAGAAACACCACCAGACCAGGGGTGGTCAAACAGGTGGCCTCATGTGTTATCGATAACATTGCTAATTGGGAAATTGTATGTATTTAAAAAATAAATCCTATTTGATTTTATCTAATTAAAAATATCTTAAGCAGTTTCAAGAACTGAAATTAAAGTGTTTTAAATTTATAAAAATAAAAACAATAAAGATAAATAATTTTGTTACTAAAATTTTAGTTTTGGAGGATCCATACAAAATTAATTATATGTTATTTTACAAAATATTATTGTTTTTTGCTGGTTTTATGAAAGGGTTTAATATTCATATTGGTTTTTTTTATAAATAAAAGCAAAAGGAGTTTTATAATTTTAATGTCAATTAAAAAATCTTATGATTTCGTATTTTTATTATATTTGGTAATCGTTATTGTCTTAGTTTGTAATACCAATCGACTTAAATAACTTAATAAAATAAATAAATAAGTTTGGTTTACAAAAAAAACTGAGTAGCAGTTATGCATATATTTATTCTTTTGTGATAATGGTACGAAAATAGTTTAATATATTTAGGAAGTTTAATAGTTATTTGTCAAACTGATTTAATTAGTGTTGGTACAAGTCTTTTAAAAGTCTCTTGTTTAATTATTATAAAAAATTTTAATATAAAGCCAAAAGCTTAATTATCTTGACTACTTTCTAGTATTTTTATTTTC